TATCTTGGGTCCTTACACTTGACTTCCTACGGTGTTTCCGTACTTCTCTTTCACTCATACTCTCACTATTTGAACTACTCAAATAGTCATAATTCATACCTGGATTCCTTGCAGTTCCTCCTCGACGAACTGCTGAACCTCTCGCGACGACAGCCCTTCTTTTTCTCCCGCATGCGCCAGCCACTCTGAAAGTGTTCATCAGACTCACTGATATCACTGGCATCATTGACACTACTAATTTCGGGCATTACCCTACCTGGTAATGGATCATGCTGCCCTAAGCGTCCTTCGCGGTCATGAGAGCCTTCGAGCTCGGCCAGACGTCGCTTCTGCTTCTCGAGCTCTTCCTTAAGCGCCCGTATCTCTTCGTCCTTTTGGTTGCAGGCTTCATCAAAGCTGTATACTTGATTCATCCGAGAACGCGTGTTCGTTTCTATCACCCTTTTACACAACGCTTAACATCTGTTTTTTCTCACAGTTAAAGCTTCTTAGCATAACGTTATTCGGGTGTATTCGCCTACAACTATTCATAGCTGCCTCTAGTTTATATGGCCACATCATCTTCGCTGTTCAAGTCCATTTGCTTTTTGACTTTGTCTAAGGTAGCCAGAGCACAAGTGCGTTTCTCAATGGTTTCCTTTAGACCGCTTGCCAGACCTTTTTCAAAACTGCGCCGCCGTATTCTTAGCTCTAAAGACGGCCTGCTGAATTTGGATCGCGCTTACTATTCGCCCCAGCCGAAAATGCTTAGGCAAATTGCCGCCGCCGACCATCACAATGGGCAACCGTTGATCCTCTCAATCAGTTTGAGGCATACCTGCATCTCAATATCCGATTCCGAATCAGAACTTTGCGAGCTTGCCATATGCTCCATATCGCCGGCCATCTGCTCTTGAGACTCTGTAAGAATATGGATATCGTCTCTCTCAATCGCAGTATCACCAACTTGATACGCGTCACGATCCCATGAATGCACAAACGGTGCTGAGTGTCTTGGCTGCTCCTTTCACTACCAACCCACGGATGAACACGTCGGCTGGTTGGCGAGTAGCCAAGACACCACGGTATCAACGATAGCTGTTGCTATCGGTACCGCTGCAAAAATCTGACACCCTTGCAGAGCCGTCAGACCTTTCTAGATCTGCACCCAACTAGGAGCCTTCAGTAGAAAAAGGTAAGGGAACAAAAAAACTTGGAAAGTAAGCGACTGTCAAATTGACCTTGGCTTGGCCCCCAAGTTAAAAGAGAATAGGTGATAATGTGGGTGATGACCCGTTTGTTTCTTGACAGTCACAAACAAATCCAAAATCTTTTATTGATCTCTTACCAAAAAAAATATAACAGCAATGCGAATAGTGAAACAGCGAATATTGAACAACAGTTGACTGAGTATCCGTGTAGAATAGGGGTCGAAGATGGGGGCAGCAGCTTGAAGATCGTCGGAGCGAGGGGGGGGGTGGATGGCACTTAGTAGACTCGAAGACGACGAAGAGGTCGAATACCTTGAAGAAGACCTCCCTAACTTGGTCGCAGCCCTTTTATATCGGCTACTTTCGCGCTCTTTTGGCCGCGCGCTCGATTGACTCCCTTTGATCACCGCGTGATCACTATTTGACATGCCGATGCTACAGAATTTGTGTGAATCATCTGTCGAAGTTCGTTATGATATAACTATATTGTTTGACCTTTTGCTATGTTTCCGCTGGGACAGCTTACGCTTGCCGTGCGAATTTTTCCACCACTGCTTGGATGTAGTTGTATTACACCAGTTTCCACTGTTTGCGGGAACTGTTTCGTTCTGCATCGCAGTTACAAACAGCCCTAATACGGTGGGAATGGGTGTGGTGTTGAGCGTTTACTGTTCAGAGTGCTGCGAGTGGAAAATTTGGAGTTGACGCAAATTGATTCCGAAACTGTGAAAAGAGTTGCTCTCAGAGTTGAGTCGTTTTTGGTATTATACGCGTACGTAAGGGAACTATGTATTGCTATAGCTTCACACGCCAACATGATGGTTCCGAGCTCCTCCTTTGACACAAATCGTTTATGATTATGATTATTTATTATCGGTGTGTAAGGCAACAGAACACAACGTAGTTATGAATAACATTGACCGATCAGCGGCAACATGAAGTTTAATAAGGCCCGAAGCAATGACACACACAACACGGGAAGACATGAAATCAGTCACAACGAGATGAAGCGAGAGGGGGTGGGGGTGCTCAACGGCAACGGGCAGTGGGTGGTAACACTTGTGTTGGGAAGAGCAGTGGCCCCAACACCGGCCCGCGAGAGCTAGCAGAGCGCTCCGGATATCCACTTAGTATGTCCGTCAACGTCCACTAATTACCCACCTGGTATCGTGCGCGCATGTGGTGGCAATGTGTGAGCAAAAGGGCAGGAGGAGTGATCAGAATTTGACATAAGATCCATTATTCCAACTGGATCTGACACCATACAACAATCACAAGTAAGGAGCACAAGGCCGGACACAGAAGCAAAAATAAATCAACTACCATGTGATATAAGAAAGACGTGGTGATGGTAATCGAATTTAGAAGTGGAAGGATTGAAGCTCAAAGTACAGACGCTTACAACTAACAAGCAAAACGAACACAAATATTATACATATGTACGCTTGAATTAAAAGTGCAACTATCTCATAACGCCTTAGCCCCCCTAGTACCCAGCCCTGTGTTCTCAGGATCTTATTGACCTTATTCTTAAAAGATCTCGATGACATTGAGCTAACTACATCGGCTGGTAGGCTGTTCCAAAAAGATATGACTCTCTGCGTGAAGCTATATTTGTACATATCTAAACGAGCCTTCTCCCTCAGCAGCTTAAAGCAATGCCCCGCATTACGCCTATAGTTCGACTCCTAAAACAGCTCTTCAAGTTAACGTCAATACCGCCCATCCTAGAAAGTGTATAGCACATCGAAATCTACAACTTTTCTTCTCATCTCAAGTGTCGTGGAGTTAGGGTAGTTCAGGCGATCTTCATATGGGATATGGAACATTCCTGCTTTGCTTTTTTGGTCTTGCTAGTGGCATTTGCGCAGGTTCAGTGCTTACAGACAGCTATTAGGCCATTCGTCGACGCGCATCTTTTCAACGCTCATAGAAGGGGTGTTGAATTTCATTTGATACGTTTTCTGAGAACCCCACTGCGCGTAAAAAAGCTAAATGTTTGGCTGAAATAATTACTGTGACAGTTCACCACCTGTCGTTGAGGTACTCGCTTTGTCTAAGGTAATTAGTGCGGATTTTCTGCTCCTGCCATGAACGTCGAAATAAAGTGGATCAATTTGACGGCCAGTGATTTAGATGAGTGCCGCGTTTAAACTACTTATAAAATCATCATGTGTTGGCACACACTTATATAAAGTTTTTCGAGCCCTGTCGCGACAGGTTCAACGGAGTGGCAAACCGGAAGAGCTTTTTCAGTAGCACAGCGCAAGAGGCTGCCGCAGCTCCAGCAAAGCCTCACGTAGTCCATCTCACCACTCCCCAGCTGTAGTTCACATGGGAACACAGGCATAACACCAACCGTTCATTCATTGCTTTCGCTCAGGTTTCCTGTAAACGGGGTATCCTCAGAGCACTTGGGAAAGTAGAAACCATGTATCTTCTGAGGGCAGATGGAATAGAACCTTCCACACTGTAGTTCCTTCTCCTACCTCTTCAGTCGCGTTGCAATCGTGAAATGTTACGGGTACTGCAGTAATTGTTATAAGAATCATTTTTCCATATGCTCGTCCCAAAACACCTTAAAGATCCGGAACCGAAACGTCACCGACTTGTTGTCGCGTGCCACGGTAACGACGCGACCCTTACGCAACCAACACTGTCAGGACAGTCGATGTTTGTTGCGTCGCAGTAAACAAAACCCAGCCAACCCCGCCACCCAGGGAGCGGGAAAACTCGCTCTTAGGCCGCGTTCATACAGACGGCATCCGCGGCATCCGTGGCCTCCGCGGCGGCCGCGGCCTCCGCGGCCTCCGCGGCCACGCGCGAAGCGTATGCGTCGCGGCCTCTTGAAGGGGACGCTCGAACGCAATCAATACCTTGAAAAATGGGTCTCAGCTGATCTGGTTCAACTGGTCTCAACAAATGGGAACTCAACTGCAGCAATATTTCGCCCTTGGCGGGTGTCCCTTTTTAACACATTGGCGACAAGGCGCCATGCGTGCCTGCCGCGTGGGAAGAAGCAGTTTTTGCCTATTTTCGAAGAGTGCGCATAAATGCTAGGGCGTTTTTGCACCAAAACACTTGAAGAAGGACTAGTTTTCAATGCAAGAAGGTTAAGTAAGAAGGCTGTTGAATATGATTTAAAAAAAAAACATGAAGTTGCTCACTTTATTCTTTTGTAGTTTCTTTACAGGCTGAATAGTGTGGCTTCACGGCAAGCAGTTTTGAATTCCGAGTGCGCGCGGCGCGCGGGTTAGTGCGAGAGTGGATGGATCCGAACGGATCGAAGGATGGCGCCTTTCCAGAAAGTTCTGCCCCGCTATATAAGCCTGTGGATTGATTAGTGGTTTTGCTTTTAGCTCCGCTTCTCGTGTGTGGTTTTTGCCTTTGTGGCATTTTTTTTCTTTTCTATCGTGCCTTTTACCTTTAATAAAAGTTATTTGTTGTCTGCTGGTAGTTTTTGTCAGCTCAGGTCAATCCTGTCATACCTACCAACATCAACTTGGGGGCCGAACCGGGATTGACCAGTGAATTGACAGAAACTAACCTTTGCTATCCTTCTCGGTATTTTTCTCGATTGTCGTTTTTCTGTACTGCGGTGTCACGAGGCTGTCCTCGTGAATACAGTACAGTCAGTGTTGCTGAAGGGGAACAGTTGGCCCTGTGCTGCATTCCTCTCCGAGTGACACGGTGGTTCTCGGTCCAGGTGACCAAAAATTTGGCGCGTAGAGAGGGGAACCTCTGCCCAAATTTTTTTTGAACGACCTGAAGTAAGGACTGAGAACCACGATAGACTTTCGTCGTGACGTGATGGCTCGCGAGGTTCCCAGGAATGGGAAAAATTCTGTAATTGAGGAATATTACAGAGACGCCCAGAGAGGTCGAGATGTCCGTACCAGTGAATGTGGTGGACGAACCGGAGAAGGAGCGGCTTACGGGAGAAGCCGCAGAACCTCAGGTATGGCACGAGGAGTTAAGATTATTAAGAAAGTGAGAGCGATAAGCACGCATGTAACAGTAGAAGTAGCTAAGCACATGCGCACAAGTGATCCCAAGCGCGAAGCCATCGAAACGGTATGTAGACAGCGGACTGACGAGGCTGTTGAAGAGCTGAAACAGCTGCAACAGCAAGTTAGACAGGGCGCAGAGCTAGAACAGTGGGTAGCCACTGTGATGCTAAGTTTAGGTTGCAGCCAGCGCCACGAGTTTGTCGAATCTCTTACGGAGTTAATCAGAGTTTTCGATGTGGTTCAGCAAGTAACAGTTGGAGAAGGGGGTAGAATAGATGACATAGTGGAGAAATGTCGTTCAGTTACAGCCCTCGAAAACCAACTTATGATGTTACAGGAGAAGCTGCGATCGTACGATGCGCAATTGGCCGAGTTGCAAGCTCTACGAAAGCGCTGTGAGAACCAGGAAAAAGAGTTGGAAAAGCTCCGCCAGCACCAGCGCAGCCCTGTGGATATGGAAATCGATGGTGAAAAGCCAGGGAAGTCAGGTAATAAGCGTACCGTTCCTAGTTTCGGCGAAGCTATGCAATATTTGAACAGACTGCACAGTGGATTGTTACAGCATAAAGGTTCTTCTTTGCAGACTGGTGGACAAAGGCATGCCAGCGAGCTGGAACTGAGGTCAGTGGACGCGAACTCGAGCTGCTCACAACCTGGCGCCCCGAAGAGGGAAACAGGTAGGCTATCTTTTTGTACAGATAGCGATGTGAGCGAATGTCAAAGTAGTAGGGGTAGGAGAGAAGTGGCAAGAGAAGGTGCGAGTGCCCAAAAAGGGGACGATCCAGTAGCCCGCTACATGAGACATATGACCCTACCCGAGGTCCAGCCATACTCAGGGCAAGACTCGAACTATGGATTCGTGAGATTCTTGGAGGACTTTCAGCTAAAGTACCCCAGAACAAATTGGACAGATGCTGAGTTGTGTACACTTTTCCGCTCCAAATTGGTAGGAAAAGCGAGGACACTGTATGAAAGCGCATTACCCAGCTATGAAAAGGATGGTGGATATGATGCGCTGATAGAAGCTATGATGCGCGAATGTAAGGCCGAACAGCGCACGATTAAAGTAGTGGCTTTAGGAAGGCTAAAGAGGTTGAAGAAAAGGGATGGTCAAACTGTTTCGGATTTCTGTGTAGAGTTAGAACAGTTGACTCGTCAGGCGCCTATCCGAACTAGATGAATTATACGTTAGCTGTGGAGAAGAGCCCATTTGCGTAACGACCAGCTATCGCATTGGCGCGATTCGTACTATCTTCTTGAGGCGTTGGAAAGCGAAGAAGACACATACGAGAAGCTCAAAGAGGTGGCCAAAAGGATCGAACGACGTGACATGACCCTAGAACAGGTCAAAAACCCACGTACTGGGGAAGGGAAAGCCTTCAGTAAACCACCTCGTATTAAAGAACCTGATCTCAAGGATAGAAAGAATGTGCAGGACCGGACTACTAGAGAACCTGACTCCAAAGAAAAGTAGGAATGGCTCAGAACGCGTTCTCCGGTGTGTTACAAATGTCGCGAAGCAGGACATCTGGCTCGCGAATGTAAGAAAACGAAAATACCTTCCTAAACCAGGGTCTTCTCTGTCAACCAGAGTACGTGGAGGCTGTTGTATAACTGCGGAAGAACGTGCTAGAGGATCCTCCCAAAGGCCACAAACGGAGAAAAGCCCGTTGTTTGGTAAAAAGATGACAGTGGAGCTAGAGCTACTAGGAATAAAGGCTCGGGGGTTGCTCGACACTGGGTCAGAGATAACTATTCTGCCCGGTAAAGTGTTGTTACGGGCGAAACGAGCTGGATTCGATATTGACCGAGCACTGGTGGAGCATGAGATTGACCAGACGAAACGGGTGTACGACGCGTCAGGTAGCGCGATGCAGTTTGTCGCAGTTCTGGAGGTCCCCATCCGTGACTGCTCCAGTGGACGTAAAGTTAGTGCGCTAGTTCATGTTTCAAGGGTAAAGGATGACATGGTTATCCTAGGCACTAACGTACTCCCAATGTTCGGCTACCAGTTGACTCGGGAAGGAAGACCACTCGATAACCCCACTAAAACGGAGACTGGTGCTTGGCTCCAAGAAGTGGTGCCGACGATACCCAACCCTACGGTGGCGAAGGTAGCTCGGCGCGAGTACATCGCGCCAGGAGCTATGAGTTGGGTGCAATTAACAGGCTGTGACAAAGATGCAGATTGGCTGCTAGACTCAGGTATACAGCTGATTCACAGTGGAGTGTGTCATGTGAAGAAAGATGGCCCAGTCGAAGTGCCTGTCATAAACAGATCGTCTGCACCCGTAGTACTCAAAGAAGGTGAACCAGTGGGACAGTGGAAGGAATATCAGACCGAGTGGATAGAAGCCAGTGCGAAAGATATTCCCACTGACATGCTTACACTAGAAACAAGGAGGCTGTCGGCTCAACAGAGGTTGATGAAGCTAAAACAGTTCCTCAAGGAAAACCGCAAAGAGCGAAAGCTACCTGCGAGGTTATGGAAGATGATTAGAGATAACCATTCCGTTTTCGCAGTGGAAGATAAAGAGCTCACACAGACATCATTAGTGAAGCACGAAATCAAGACCGGAGATGCGGAACCTATCCGTCAAAGGACACGTCCGGTGCCCGTAGGTGCACGTAAAGAATTCAAGGAGATCATAAGAGGACTACTTGAGAGAGGTATTATAGAGCGCTCAACTTCTCCATGGGCTTCTCCTGTAGTCCTAGTGAAAAAGAAGGATGGTTCACTTCGACTTTGTGTGGACTATCGCGAACTTAACAAGCACACCAAGCCTGATGCGTATCCTCTTCCTGCGATTGACGTTATGTTGCAGAGTTTAAGAGGAAAACGGGTCTTCTCGTCATTAGATATGTGTTCAGGTTATTGGCAAATAGCGTTGTCAGATGACGCTAAAGAGAAAAGTGCGTTCACTACATCGGAAGGCCTATTCCAATTTACCGTGTTAACCCGTTTGGAGTTATGCACATCGGCCTGTCTGAATTCAACGGCTTATGGATCAAGTCCTAGGAGAGTTGAAAGACAAGGAAGTCTTTGTATATATTGATGACATTCTCATAGCCACGGACACGGAAGAACGCCATTACGAGGTACTGCAGCATGTCATGACGGCATTGAGTGAGGCTAACTTGAAGTTAAAGCCACAGAAATGCGTTGTCATGGAAAGGCAGATCAACTTTTTGGGCCACCTAGTTGACGCTGCAGGAATTCATGCGGACCCCGATAAGATTGCGAAGGTGCAAGCATATCCGAGACCACCAAGCCAAACATTGGCAAGAGTTGAGAAACGTTCTTGGGTCTATGCGGCTATTATCGGAAGTTTATATTGAACTTTTCAAAGATAGCACAGCCTATGTTTACACTGACAAGTCAAAAGGTACCATGGAGATGGAGCGAAGAGCAGGAAGCTTCATTCAAGAAACTGAAAGAAGCACTGTCATCAACGCCCATTTTAGCCCAGCCTGACGTAGAAGGCGCAAGGGACGGTACAAAACCATTTATAATCTACACGGATGCATCTCAATTAGGCATCGGAGCCGTACTATGTCAAGAAGGAAAAGATGGATTTTACATCCACTCTATTTTGCATCCAAAAGTCTAACCAAAGCTGAGCGAAGGTATCACATAACGGATACAGAAGCTCTCGCAGTGGTGTTTGCACTGAAGAAGTTCCACTTCTTTATATACGGCATGGAAGTCATAATCCGCACGGATCATCTACCTCTTACTGCCCTGTTCAAGAGAACAAATGTATCCAGTCGTGTGCTACGATGGGCATTGGAGATACAACAGTATCGTGTAAAAATTGAATATGTCAAGGGGAAAGCGAATCCCGTGGCCGATGCCTTGTCCAGAGGTGTCAACATGAGTGAACTTGGGCTGGACATCTCTGACATAAAAGATGATCGAATCGTGTGCGCGGTTACTCCAAGTGACGGAACGCCGTGGTTAGAAGAGCTGAGAGATGATCCGGACTACAAATTCATCATTCAAGGACTCGAGTCAGGCCATCTGGAGGAGGAAGTTGCCTTACCCCGGATGGGAAAGAGATTTAAAGTTGTTGACTTTTCGCTGGAAGAAGGCGACTTGAAGTTAATAACCGAAAGTGGCGCGACAGTAAGGGTAGTTCCGAAGAGTAAGAGGAGAGAAGTCTTCGACGAAGCCCATCGAGGGTGCCTTGCTGGCCACTTTGCCGCTAAGAAAGTCCTACGTACGCTGAAAACTAAAGTATTCTGGGAAGGCATGGAGAAAGATGTTTTTAAGTGGCACCGGGAATGCCGAGAATGTTTTCTCGTTAACCCCAGGAGAAGTTATGTGCCACCATTGAAACCTTTCATTGCCGCAAAACCTTTCGAGATTGTCTGTATGGACCTCCTAGAGATGGGTTTGAGCGTAACAGGCATGAAGTATGTATTGGTCGTCATAGACCATTTTTCCAAATGGATGGGCGCATACGCGATCCCGGACAAGAAGGCTTCCACCGTGGCAGGTACCCTTTTTCGGCGATGGATTTGCGAGAACGGCCGCTGGCCGAGGCAGATTCATAGCGATCAAGGTACAGAATTCGCTAACAGCGTCATGGAGGAGCTGACGCTCGTATCTGGAATCACCTTTTACAAATATACAAAAGGTTATAATTCACGCGAAAATGGTGTCACAGAACGTGTGATAGGCACCCTGCAAAGAATGCTGAAGAAGAAAGTTGAGGTCGAAGATTCGTGGGACTCAATATTACCGCATGCGGTGTATGCATACAACGTAAGTCCTCACGAGGCAACCGGAGAAAGCCCTTTCTTCTTGTTACACGGTTTTGACCCTTATGTACCGTCCAAGGTAGTACCTGAAAGTGAGGTAACAAAGTACCCAAATTGACCTGGATCGATACAAGAACCGAACTGCTACGGGGAATGCAGTTAATTCGCGAAGAAGTACTCGAATACGCTGACTCCTACCGAAAAAGAATGAAAGCGTATTACGATGAACGTCACGACGTGGACGTCGCGAAACTTCCCAAGGTGGGCGGAAGAGTGTTCATGAAGCTCCCCATGGAAAAAGGGAAGAGTTAAGCCAAACCCCAAAACTGACATGGGAGTGGGATGGACCCTTCCGAGTGCTTGATGTTTTTGAAACGTCTGCCTTGATAACGCGTATTGGGGCAGATGAGGAGCCGCTTAAGATACAGATGGACATGTTTGCGTGACACATGCCCTGATGAGCTCGTAGCAGAACCCCTTAGACCCAGAACAAGGAGGCGTCAGAGGAGGTCTAAGCGAAAGCAGAGTGAGAGTGTTAGGGTATGCGCGTGCAGTCTCAGTAGCACTGATAAATTCTGTTTCAGAGCAGCGAAGGAGTTCGATGTCGTGGACGAGATGAACTGCCTCCATGGTTGCTTCCGATGTCAAGGACAGCCTCTGCCGATTCTGGAAGGAGTTCCTCAGCTGGATGTATCGAAATGTCATTGTAGTGCATCCATAGTTGCCGGAGATTTGATCAGTACTCTAGTTCAGCCGGCGGCAGCGCACCGTGTGGACTGCGCGTGCTTGGAGGGAGCGCGTGTTATCGCGATTTGGCAAGGGTGCGGGACCCTTAGTGAAGAAGATCGCGTGATTGGACGTTGGCAGACCACCGTCGGATAACTCCACGCAGTGTTGCTCTAAGCTATGCATTCTTCCGGTCCAGATGTCTGCACATTTCGGTGATGGCAGGCATGGTCTCAGCGGACGACATCATGCGCCATTGGCCAATTCCAGGGTGGCACTGTGATTGTTCCCCCCTATTTTATCCATTTTCGAGCTTGGATGGAGGATCTCGACAAGAACCACGTGGCAGGTGGCTAGAGAAGCTGTTGGTGCAGAACATCGCAAGATGGTCATCGTGGTACCCGATTGCCTCCATCGTCTGAAACAGGTCGGAAGTCAGCTGCGGGACACCAAGATCTTTTATTATAAACAGTTCCGCGACATTCATCTGAGGAAGACTGAGCTATTCGATGATCAACTCGGTCACGTCATCATCGTCTTGCCTCCCACCGAACCTAAGCCAGGAAGTTGGTTGTCCCTAGTAGCGGCCCAAGCAATGTGGCTGCAATGCGGATGTCGTGTTTACTTGGTAGCCGGACCTCGACCGCAGGACTTGAACTCGTGGTACAGAGTCGCGATCCAAGCCAGATCGCATCTGAACGGATTCCTGGAAGACCACATGGAGCTGATCCCGCAGGTGGTGGACAAGTTGGTTGCCGAAAACGGTCTCATTGACCCGACAGCACCGTCCTATGCGGTCGCAGTACTGGATAACGAAACCTCATGGCTGCCCGAGAGGCACGTGCGGCTCTTTTATCATTACCTATCGCGGCACTTGGCGCAGAACGTCTCCCTCGAACCCTACCTTCGCAAGTCAGTGCCCGTCAAAGCACTTTTTTTGTGTCGACTGGAGAGCCGTCGAAAGCGACGGGAGGGCGTGGTCACCCCGCCGTGAAGGCAGGAGGAGTTGGCAAAAGGACGCTGCGGAAGCAGGAACAAAGGAAAAGACGCAGCCAGGCACGCGCATTAGCCAAGAATATGGGGGAGCTGAATCTTGACCGAGTGTAGCGGTCAATTCTTTTAGGGCCCCGCGTGTTGAATATGATTTTAAAAACATGAAGTTGCTCACTTTATTCTTTTGTAGTTTCTTTACAGGCTGAATAGTGTGGCTTCACGGCAAGCAGTTTTGAATTCCGAGTGCGCGCGGCGCGCGGGTTAGTGCGAGAGTGGATGGATCCGAACGGATCGAAGGATGGCGCCTTTCCAGAAAGTTCTGCCCCGCTATATAAGCCTGTGGATTGATTAGTGGTTTTGCTTTAGCTTTGCTTCTGGTGTATAGTTTTTGCCTTTGTGGCATTTTTTTTCTTTTCTATCGTGCCTTTTACCTTTAAATAAAAGTTATTTGTTGTCTGCTGGTAGTTTTTGTCAGCTCAGGTCAATCCTGTCATACCTACAACACTAGGCTTTGTGTTTCCTTGTTTATCTCAGATAAGCCCTTTATTTCGTGAATATACCAGATACACGTGGAACGTGGGACCAAGGTCGCAAAAAAAAAGAAAATTTTTCGCGGGCCAAGAGGTGAATAAACTGACATGGGAGGGATAGGAACAGATCTGCTATTGTCGAAAGTTACCTTATCACGTTAGCAATCTACTTGTGGAGCTTCAGTTCTATTCATCCAAAACTTACCTTTTTTCCAGGAAATTATTTTTGTTGTCTCCTCGGTAAAATACTCTCAATGACACAACTGCTTGTTTAACAACCGCGACGCGTACGCTTCGCGCTTGGCCGCAGAGGCCGCGGCCTCTGCGGAATTTCCAAATCGATACGTATACTTTGCTTGCTCTGAAAATTCCGCAGAGGCCACGGATGCCGCGGATGCCGTCTGTATGAACGCGGCCTAACGCCTTAGTATGGGCTAACGTGAGGTATAGAGCTTCGGTAGTATGAGTTCCCATTGATCTAGGTGGCAATATACTAGTGGCACTACTTTATTCTTATTGATGACTGCAGCATAGTTCATTAAACTTCTACCCATCAAACTTCTCGTGTAGTCTAACGAGATCGACGTGATCATGGCCATGGACGACCGTTGCGACAGGTAATAACAATTAGTCTACCTAATTTATTGTTTAGACCAGCCTGTTGTCGCACCGGTCCGTGTTTCGCCACAGTTATTAGGCAGCGTTCAGACTTCGCGACGGCAGCGCTTCGGTCGCGCGTTCGACGCGATCGATGCAGTCGAAAGCATGCGCATCGATCGCGTCGAACGCGCGACCGAAGCGCTGCCGTCGCGAAGTCTGAACGCTGACTTACCGCAATATTTACCGCCGCTTCATCTTAGGACATGAATTCTGATGTTCTCCTTTATCTGCTACTTATTTGTTTTTGTTATCTCTTAATTCAGATTTTGCTTAACTCTTGCAGCCGTACGCTGGCGTGATTCTTCATGACAGTCAATTACGACGATAGTTCATTTCGAGGATTTCATCCCTAAATTCGCCTTTTTACCTTGTTTGTTTCTTGAGTGTACTTCTTGTTCTAGATTTGACGCCGTCAATTGTATAGAGTATTTATAGATGTGGCTTTACGACGTTTATTTACGATCGCTGCTTGCTGTTACTAATTCTTCCTTGTAACCGATTCACTACGCTTTCGCCTCCAGATTCTATCTTCCTATGAGAGTAGCCTTTGATTTTACTGGTTCAGTTGCGTGCTAAGTAGCAGTGTCGTGGCACTATTGAACTATTC